GCCCACACCCAATCACATTTTTTGGCATGCTCATTCTGTGTAAACAAAGTTTGACGATATAACTGCCCTGCTTCTTTCTTTTCCCTTGTAAAGAATATATCTGCCAAACTTTCAAAGATTCACTGAGGCACTCCAAAGTCTTTCTGTTCACAGTGATGAAATACACGGACTGGTCATTTGTGTTAAAGAGAAGATTTCCAACCATTTCTCTGCAAAATAATGACTTAAACCCTGCATCTCCTCACGATCTTTAAACTCTCAGAGCTCAAAACCTTCTGAAGAGGCCCCACAAAAAGTGGAGGGATGCTTCTAAATGCCACATACTCGGGTCAACTTGAAAACAACCTAAAGCAGATTTGTGTGTTTGACCGAATATACAGAGGCTCAGGCATACATTTCTGGCACACAGACCTGGTCTTATCTGACCTTTTCAAAGACCACACCACGGACCGTTGTGCACTTGTCTTCATTCACTGAGCCTTGAAGACCCTGCTGTCAGCTCCTCAGGTTTCTCAATGGCCCTAAACAGGATTTAAGTCATAGAAGGTCAGGGTGAGGTCAGTGGCATAAAGGCAGCTCCAGGATTTACCTTACTCCCTTATCATGCAGTCACCAGGCCCACATGCTGAATGTGTCATATTGTCTTTAAAGCCTGTGTGCTATATGGCTCAGGTATGGTTAGAGGTGAGGAAAGAATGCCCTTTCATTATCAGCAGAGCACAAATGCCACAGAGAACAGTAAAAATAAGCTGGAATACAGACAAATAATCAATGGAAATATAAATTAACTCTTTTCTTTTTCCAACAGAGTTGTATTGTAGGATGTGAAATCAGATAAAGCAATTAGTGTGTAGTGCTTACATTGCTTAGAACCAAACTAAAGCATCTCAACCTCTGGATCATGATGCATCCTTCACTTATATTAATATTTGTTTGTACCATACCTGTTTGATACGTATTATGAACTATCTGTTTTTGCTGGCATGGTATTAGTCATGTTTGTCATCTTTATAAACATGTGGACATGCAAACTTGTTGAAACATTCACTGTGTGCATGTTGGCATTCTGACACATTTAAGGCTAAGCAGAACTTGGTACAGCCTTATGTAGAAATCCCCAGGTTTATAAGATAAGACACGTAATGTGAACATCACAAAGGCACACAAAGGGTCCACATCTGTGCTCTCTACCAGGTCAGGTATGTATGAAATGGAATATATACATTTATTCAGAAATCAGATTAAATGGGACCCAAGAGAAGTGTCAATGAATTGATTGTTTAATAAATGAGAACATTTGACCCAATGAACACAAATGTGTTCCCAACTATAATGTGGTGTCATGGCTTTGTGTCATGCGTCTGGGAGAAATATGACAACAACAAAATCGTATTAATATCTGCGGCTTGTCTCGTTCTTTCTCTTTCAGCCACTTCCTCCCAAGTTGTAACCTCCTGAGGTCTTATGTTACCTCCACCCTTCTGAACAATTACCCAATCAAGTGGACAAAGCTCTGTCTGGCATTGTGCAGAGTGGACGGGTGAAGGGGGGGGGGGGGGAGCTTTACTATCTGGCCTGCCCGGACAGCTCCATGTCAAAAAATGACTGAGGAGTCGAAAGATTTTCAGATTCATCCCAAATATCAGCCCTTGCTGCACATATATTCAAATATCTGACTTAATCTGTCTCCTATGGTAACAAAAAGTCATTACTACCCCCCTCCCCACATGTGGAATCAGACACCAAACAGACAGATAATCCTTCCCAAAGTCTGTCTATTGATGTCAACCCCCCAAAATAACCATGTATGCATATCTACCAACAAACGCTTTCTCAAATGCAGAGGATAGGAAGGATTTGAGATCAAAGCTTGCATAAAAGCTTGCATAAATTCTATCTATTTTGTAGGTTTGGGGAGAGTTGAGGATTATTGATTCAGTGGAGCACTGGCCAGATGTGGCCACACACCACTGATAAAATGTAGTTTAGAGTTTATCACCACTTTCCAACAATCTCATCTGATAACAGTAATATTTGTAACACACTAGCACTGTGTTTTGCTTCCCTCCAGTACTAATGCAGTTGTTAATGGTTCTCTCTGAAGCCATTTGATTTATTATTAATATAGTTTAAGTCAAATGATCACTTCACATAATCACTGTCTTCCTCTGTTGGTGCGTTAGATTTGAAAATGATCTTCATCTAGTTCCGTTTCCTGTTTTTCATGAGGATATTTCTTTCTTCGTTTGTCAAACATATCTCAGTGACCCCCTTTCCCCCTCAGTGTAGTTTCAATATGTCTTCGTCTCCACAACTCTTCAGACTGAAGTCAAACACCAAATGAAAGCCATGCAGAAAGTGTCAGTGTTACATAGAAGCACCTGAAATCAGCTGTTCTGTGTAGGTTTAAATTAATTTAGCTCAGTGGGAGTTTTGCTGTGCCTCTGCAAGTTTGATCATATAAACAGACCTGGCAGGACCAGAGAGCCGGGCCAGACTCAGGAAGGAAGGAGCTCTACTCAAATTAATCTCCGCTGGACGCCCCAGTAAAGGAGCACAGCCATTTTTGGGAGCAAGGAGCCATCTCCTTGGTGAGTACCATGGCAACAGTCAACGTGGGCCCCAGCTTTCCGAGCTGTTCTTTTCAAGCTCCCGATGCAAAGTGGCAGCCCAGGTTTTTTTTGCAATGCGGCGTCTCTTACTCCCTCTCTGGCCCATTCTTCTGTCTCTCCTTTTCTCTGCCTGCATGACATGGGCCTGGCCTTTTTTCACCAGGGAGGCTGTGAGAAGACTGCTGAGGGTGAGTGTCCGTGGGAAAATGTTGCCAGACAACACAGGAGTATGTGATAAGTGGGCAAGCTAATGCGGTCTGCATGGGGCCAAAGGAGACCTACCTAATCCAAATAGGTTGTCAGAGATTTTTTTTTTTAAATGCACTGCAATAAAATGAGAAAAAAAACTGCTTCATACCTTTTGTTTCTGCTTTAATGTTTCCACGTCATGGTAGCTGGCAAGACATCAACTCTGCACAAGACATACAAACCTGCAGGTCTGTATCAGGTCGATATGAGGACCGTCCCAGTCAATCAATGAGATGGAATAAATTTTCCAAACTGATTTCATACATAACTTCAGGACCACAGACAGCGCCATGGACATATCGATACACAGCACAGCATGACGCCCATTAATGCAGAGCCATGATTGGTAGATGGAATGTGGCCCACAGAAACCAGGGTTATTGATGAATCGATAAGTTAGACCTCTGTCCCTGTTCTTACTGTGCTATTGGGGGATGGCAGATTTTTAAAAAGGCAGGTGCATATTTCTATCTAGCTATTTTCAAACTTTTGCACTGGTTTAAAACCTGTTCAGAAAACCCACACAGGGTTATAAACATTTAAATAATTGCACAATCTGACAGGAAGATATTTGATTCAACTCTGTGGGGCAGTTCCTTACAAACTCTTTAATTTGTTTATTTCGATGAAGCTTGTGTTTTAAAGGAGGTGGGTAAATAGACATCCATATGTGTAATGGTGTGTTATTGTGCACTAAGGTCCATTTTAGTTTTTTATGATTACGAGAACTGTTCAGCTGTGTGTTCTTTAGAAATACTTCCAGACATCTCTCTCAAACGAAACGAGACAAAAGGTGTGTGTTCCGGTTTATTACATTCATAGAACAGTGATTAGCAGGTGTGTTATAAGGTGCATCTCAACTATTACAGTTGTTGCTAAAATGGCATCACTTTAAAGTTATATAAAGGTAGGTTCACATCACAAACACATTAAATAATTTACATGTCTCTGCATTTGAACGTTAGACACATGCAGTAATGTTGATGTTGACAGAGAGCCCCCTTGTGGACGTTTAAAGACATGCGTAGACAGAAGGAATAACTTGGACCAGTGTATATGCTCTACACGTTACTGCAGAAACTCTTTAAAGAAAACACAAAAGCTAATGACAATATCAAACTAACAGGAGGAAAGAGTATCGCTTTTGCACCTAAAGCCCTTAACAATAATTTACATGCACGTCTGTCCTTACAACCACATTCAACGCGAACCCATCAGAGAATTCAGCCAGCCCAGGTGACGGGACACCTTTTGAAAGATGTAGCCTTTGCCGCACTCCCCCCCTTCTGGCTGGCTCACCACCCCAGTGACGAAGAACACATTTCTGTACAGAGTCAGCAAGGGGCTGCCGGAGCTCATGGCGCAGTCGGCATTGGCCCGTGGGAGGGTGCAGCCCATTTTATTGGTCATCAGGTTAGGGTGTCTCTCCATACACTCAGGCAGCTTGCTGTACTCCAGCTGGTTTAGGGTGAGCGGACCCTGGAAAGCAGAAACCTGTGGGGCTTCCTTCCAGCCAGTGATGATTGTTGGGAAGTCTCCTGACATCAACAAGCTTTCAGCAAAGTCTCTTTCTGGCACACAGGCAGGAACCACGCTTCTCTTAAAACTGATGCGGTCGCGGAGCTCGATCACAGCGAGGTCATTTTCGGGACGGCCTTCCACATAGCGAGGAGCGACATGAACTATTTTCACGTACACTGTCTGCTCTCCCTCCTCATAGTTGATGCTGCGCCTACCTGAAGAGGTGAAGATGAAAAAAAGCTTTACATCTTATATCTTTAATTATTTAAACAAATTCATCTTCAAATATCAGAACGTTGTGTTACTCCGATCTGCAATGGAGGGAAATATAAAAGTAGCCTTTTTTTATTTTGAGGTATTACACGTAAGGACAAAACAGACTTCCGTTTGTACTTATGTGTCTTCATATTAAAAATATCTATCAAGCACAGTTTGACAGATACAAGAGCCTTTGCGGACTGTTATTGCCTATCCTATTTAGACCAGCACTTCTTTTGTATTTGCATTGAAATCTGCTGTGAGTTTTACTGATATGTCTAAATCATTATCTTTTATACCTAAGTGTAAACAATTTTCTTACAACATGATACAATAAATATTTGAATTGACTCTTGGGAGATAAATCAGCCAAAATGCAGTGCATAATCACTTGTATGTCTGATTTTACCAGCTACATCCCACACACTGATCATCACAGGCTTGTTTACTTGGGGAACATTAAGTCTGAAAATAACTAATAAAATTTGAATTCTTTAAAAGGACATTCAAATCTTGCCAAGCCACAATAATTCAATGTGACCGCACCACATACACAATCAAACAAATACACTGGCATATCATGAGAAAAGTAGCTTCACAGGCTGAAATGCAAAGTCAAAAAAGAAACCTTTTGAATTTTAGAAAAAATCCAAAAAGAAAAACCTTTCTCACGAAACAGCTCAGATAGCTAACTCTTACCACACATGGTTATTGTGATGGAGGTAATGTTGAACCTGAATACTAGAGCACAGCTGTTTTGGTTGCATGATCCAGTGTCTCAGTTACTCACCAACTACGACCTGAAAAGAGCTGTATTTGTTGGCACACTGGGCTGAAGTCAGTACTAGGTTTTCTTTCAGTATGACTCCACTACAGAAACCTGCAGACTCTGAACTCTTCAGCAAAGCCTGGAAACAAGACGCAAACATTAAAAGAAAACACAACACGGTCACCAGCGGAACTGGTGTTGCACTTCAACAGGGGTTTGTGTCTCTACCTGCCAAGGACATTCTGTAGATGTGCAGGTAAGTCCTTCAAAGTTGTTACGGGCGTTGGTGGATTGTCTGCTGGCCCACTGACTCATACTGCTCAATTTACCACAGGGAACGAGGACTGAAAGGGACAGTTATGAACAAGCATGCTCACCATAGAGATAATGTAAAATGACTCCTGGTTCATCCCACGTTGCATATTTTTCTATTTCCAATAATCTAATTAACAACTGTGAAGACACATGTGACTGTTTTTACTGAAAGTGAAGAGGTTAAAGTTGAGTGTATGTTTCTGCTTTTGTGAACAGGGAGAAAATCAGAAGTCATACCTGATGGCTCACACTTGTGCTTGTCTTTGTCGTTGAGCCTCCATCCGCGGGCGCAGGAACACTGGTATGATACATAGCCAGGTTTACAAAACTGCGAGCAGCCCTTATCCTTCTCCAGCGTACAAATGGTCTCGTCTGCACCATGGAAACAGAGAGAGGAGCTAAAACCAGCAGCGCACACCAACAGAAAATAAACAACCATCAATTTACCAGAAGTCCCTCCTCACCTTTTTCGCAGTGCACTCCAGAGAAGCCTGACTTGCAGACGCAGTCGTAGCCTCCCACGCTGTCTGAACACATGGCTCCATTTTTGCAGGGTTGCTCTGCACACTGGTCTCCATCTAAGCAGGAAGCACATTTATGGGCAGGTCAAATGCAGTGCTAATGACTGTGTAGTGATTCAAGGTCCATTTAAACACAGCACTTACCAATATAGACTGACCAGAAGATGTCCTGAAAGGGAAACGGAACACGATAAGTCAACAGCTCCTGTCAGTCGTTTACCAGTGATATGAGGAAAGAACTGACAGCCAGCTCACCGTGCGGTAGGAGTCCTGGAAGTACTTCCTGGCCTCTTCATAGGTGCACACCTTCTCCATGCAGGCCTGCTCCAGAGTGGAAGAGGAGCTTCCAGCATTCCTCTTCTGCCGGGAGATCAGTGAAGTGGCCTGTTGCTTATCCAAAAACACTGAGGAAACAGTTTGTCATAAATCTGTTTGCCAATTTCTATTCCATTAAAAAAATGATTGATGATTGGCATGCGGCTGCATTAAAAAAAATCATCAAGCATTTATCATATCGTATTATGCTATATCTATCTATATCTATACTTTTTTTTTCAAAGACCACAAAATGGTATGACAAATAATGCATCAGCTAAAGTACATTGGTGATTCTACAGTTTTTGTGTAATCATGATTGGAAAAGCTTACTATCTCTTTTCACTAAACATGTCCATGCTAACAATGAACTATTCTTTTTTTTCTCCCATCTTTAAACTTTGCAGAAAGCTTTCTCACCTATCTGGGGGGTCTGGATGGCCACTGCAGCCCCAGCCAGCAGATACAGAAGAGCGAGGCATGGGGTAGAGGAGAGCATGGTGACGGAGAAGCCTTTGAAGGGTCAGTGATGCTGGGATCGATGCGTACTGCTGAGGAGACGACAAGCAGATAGACGTGGATGATGCAGGGAACCAAAGAAGCATATTTAGTTGGTGTGTTGTAAAGGGAATTTCACTGAATCGCTTATAGAAAAGCTCTTCTGTTTATGAGGTTGAGTGGTTCATTTAGAAAGCTCTCTGTAGCATGACTACTGTTGATGCAGGCAGTTTTGAAATGATGGCTTATACATGACAGTTCCCTTGAGTCTTTCAATCCACAAGAAGACAATAAAAAGAAAACATTATTCAGCTGAAGTCCAGTTAAATCCAGTGATAATCCAAAATCTTCACCTCTATTGTACCAATCCTGTTATTCTAAGAGTTCGTCACTATAGCAGCAGGCATTTTTGTGACAGCTGCAAATGACAGCTCTCATCAGGGTAATTGCTGGAGTTTTTCACTAATATTCCTGTATGGAGGACACTAACTGTACCTTTGTGTACAAATCAGGCTGACACATGAGACAGAGACATCAATGTAATCAATAATCAATGCAACTGGGTTAAAACTGACATATTTGGGTTTTTGTACAGAGGGCTATAGATTCACGTCGTCTGTAAAGAAAAGGAACAGATGTGTGAATGTGATTTATTGATGTCTCTGAAATGACGTGATGTGGAGCATTGATCTGCGTTCGTGCTGCCATGTTGGAGCTGCTGGGCCTTTTGGCAAAAATTACAGACAGCCCTGCTTCAGCAACGGTTTAGTCATTATTTAACCACGTTTACATTAAAACAATTATATATATAAATGTAGAAGCTCTTAGAAGAAGCGTGGTTATAAACAAAGGAATGATTAATTCTTTATATACAATATGTAGCGCATAGCATTAGCTTTTAGTTTAACTGCACAAAGACAGAAATATCAGCCTTTACACATCTTAGTCTTTCTGTCCAGGATGTTTATGTCGTCACAATCCGCCAAAGTGGAAAACAACAACCTATCTCTCGTTTTGTCAACAGGGCGGGTCAGCTGAGCTGACCACAACAACATGAGGAACGAAACGAGCCCAACAGCGACGGTGGTTTAGGGTTAGACAGAGCCAGCTCACCTTCCCGGCCGTTCCTGGTCCCTGCTGGTTCTCAGAGACGCCTCTGGAATGGACCGGGTCTGTGGGTCCAAAATAACGGCCCCCGGTTACATCTGAGCAGCAAGGCCTGCCCACTGTTTACGGTGTGGGGTGGTTTCAGTGACCAACAATGGCCGCTAGATGGTGCTGTTGCACAGAGCAACG